GTCACAAAGTTCGTTGGCCATTCGTTTTTTGCAGAGCTTATGAAGATAACTCACCAAGTTGAACTTACCGGTCCATGATATAATCTCCATGCATACCCACCACCTTTCGCCAACGATCGGGTAGAGAGGCAACTCCATCCTCTCAGAAGCCGGCCAGCCGCGACTCGCCCAAGTCCTCGATCACGTCCTCGAGGTCGCGCTCGTTCTTCAGCTGTTTTCCGTCCAGGAAGTTTCGCATGGACCGGAAGATGTGGTAATCGCATAGACTGATGTCCGGGCTATATGGTGGATGCGTGAACGTCTTGATGCCCAGCCTGTCCAGGACGGCCTGAGTATCTCTCGCTTTGTGGGGGCGCGCGTTGTCCCAGAGCAACCACGGATTTGCAAGTTTCTGGGACAAGGCGGCAGCTTTCACCTTGACCTCCTGCAATTCTTTAGAGAGGGTCTCTGCCGTCTGTGGCATTGTTGGGTAGGATGCTGTAGTGGACGACGCCGTGGCGAGAGAACCAGAAACCTCGGCATATTTTCGATGCCATAGTTTCCATTGGTGAAGCGAGTCCCCCATTTTGACATCCAGTTCTTAGAAGGGGTGTTATCACCAAACTGCTGACGCATCCTGGTCGTGGCCTGACGTCTGGAGATGTCCAGATTGTAGTAGTCCAGCAACTATCACTCATCTTCACTGCTTTATTGTGGAAAGATCAGGAAAGGAAAATTTAGAGCTAGCTAGCTTAGAAGATAGCCCATCGCGAGTACTTTCAGTATTGCGAAACCGTTATGCAAAATCACAACACGTTGCGTAACGCGACGCTGTTTACAAATGGCCAACGAACTTTGTGGACACCCTAATAGTATAGTCAGTTATACAAGAATGCTATTTATAGGTTCGGAAAATTTTCTATGAAGAAGATCGTGTACGAGCAGCTTTTTACAAAAAATATCGAGGAGGTATTATGAATTTGGAAAGTCCACGAGAGAGCCTTTCTCGACAATTCATCAAGGAATACGAGACTGTTAAAAACGAACTCGCCGGTAACTCGTTTCTTTTTTAGTATTTTCTTTTGAAGTTATCTCTGGGTTATTATTGGAGGTGTAACCACTACTTACCGAGGGCTGCTGTGTTTTAGGGAAGGAAGAAGTCTCTGAAGACGAACTATTCCGGCGGACAGAAGAACGATTAAAGGAAGTTGGCATTCAACTGAAATAGGAATAAATTAGGAATTGTATGAAATAAATGGTTTATCAATCGATTTTTTAACCTATTCACATGGAGCGTTTTCTCCGCTTATTTCTTTTTCTATAATCGTACGGGTTCGAACTTCTCTCGTCCACCTTTTCTTTTCTTTAACAGGGTAATCTTCGTAGTCTAGAGTTCGTTGCGACGTCTCTGTTCTCATCGAAATGAAGTACTTGTCTGCTAACGAAGTGAGTTCAATTACCATTCATCATACCAATCCATTACTCTTCTGTGAGCTTTTAGGTCCGCTCGACTTTCATCGAGTTTTTCAAACAAAAGAAGGGCCCACACGTACGTGCACTCATCGTCTGTGATTCCACACGATGATCCTACTCTTCTCTTTGCCAATGCAGGAATGAATCAGGTTTGTCTTCAGTTAGCTTATAAAGGTTATTCAGGCCCAGGGCATGCTAGTTAGGGAGAGGAGATAAAATTAAAGCAGTCTCTTAGTGTAAGCGGGGACTAGCTGAGCGCGAAACTTCTTTCTGCACGAGTAATCGAGTAACCAACCAGAGAACTTCTGGGCTACTTTCGTCAGATAAGCCTCTTCATCCCCATTACGGCAGTCCTAATTTTTTTCGAGATGTTCTCTTTTTAGATCCGGTTTTCATTTTGTGTAGTGACAGCATGAAGGCAGAGGCCACGATTACTATAACTTTACTGTGAACCCTTTTTGTAGGGAGATAGTTGCTGGGATTGCAAAGAACAACCCTGTAAAATATCCCTTCAAAAAGTGGTAATGTAGCGCGGTAAGGCACAAGGTTGCTCAAGTGACTACGCTTTGATAGATGTCTTATCTACTGTCTTGCTCGTTTGCGTGCTCTCTCGCTGCTTTCTCTGAATTTTGTCGGTATTCACGTCGATTATTTGCCTCTCGCTTGGCACTGACTCATATGGAGCGTTTTCGACGCTTTCTTCAGGGGCATGTCAGTTACCATAGACACTTGTGTTTCTAACTCTGCTACGTACAAATGTTTTCACTGGTTCATCACGAAGCCTGCTTTCAATATGGTATGAAAATAAATAGCTTTGCCAGTGAATGACGAAATACACGGCAATGTGGCGAAAGAAATGAGTTACTCAGAATAGACATAGCCCTCTACGAGTCTTCAGAAACTTTGCAGCACCGCTTTCTTATTATATTTTATCAACACTTCTTGTAATTTAGTTCAAACCGCTGTTCCTCGGCATTGCCGACCCCAACAGTGACCTGGCCAAGTTGAAACGTGCAGTAAATACGCAGAAGTGCATACGTGCTGGGGGAAAGCATAACGATTTGGACGATGTAGGAAAAGACGTCTATCACCACACATTCTTTGAGATGCTTGGGAACTGGTCCTTTGGGGACTATTTCAAGGTAATTGTTTCGTTTACCTAAATTTCGATTTTTTTTGTTTTCTTTTGTTTCCAGTTGTTTTATTTCCGGTTTGCTTGAGAAGCAACAAGTGCTCTTTTTCTGCGCATGACGGGTTCTTTACAGAAAGAAGTCTATCACATGGCATGGCGAGCCTTCTGACAGAAGTCTACGGAATCCCAGCTGATCGGCTTTATGTCTCTTACTTTGGGGGAGACGACAAGGCCGGCATACCGGCAGACGAAGAAGCGAGGAGCATATGGCTCAGTCTTGGGTTTGTTATTTTGCTTTTTCTGGAAGCTTGGGATCGCAGGACTGTTTCTATTCTAAGTATATTCTACTTGTTTAGGTTGCCCGAAAACCGAATTCTACCGTTTGGGATGAAGGACAACTTCTGGGAAATGGGCGATGTTGGACCATGTGGTCCTTGTTCGGAGATTCACTTTGATCGAATCGGAGGGCGTGACGCTTCTCATTTGGTCAATGCTGATGATCCAATGGTTGTTGAGATCTGGAATCTGGTCTTCATCCAGTTCAACAGGTGATCTTTTGTTCTCTTCTTTAACTAAACTTCGTTTCGCTTCTCTTTTTGCTTATCTCTGACTTTCTGAGTAAGTTTTTGAAGAAGATTCCATCTTTTTAGGGAAGAGGGTGGTGACCTGCGTCCTCTCCCTGCCAAGCACATTGATTGCGGTCTTGGTTTAGAACGTTTGATTGCTGTACTTCAGCAGAAGACATCCAATTATGACACCGATATGTTCCAGCCCATTTTCAAAGCTATCCAGGAGGTGCGTACTGTTATTTCTATTTTTTTTTTCTGCGGGCTAAATGTGGAACGTCCTAAACTTCCGAAATGATTATGCGATATCTGTCACATAAGAAGCCATTTTTATCGGCTTTTTATGAGTAAGGTTAACCAAATTGCTGTTGCGTGCGACACTTTTACTACTGGGGCGATAAGTGCTACCACTGCAGTGGCGCTTTAATGCTTTAAACGAGAACGCGGCCGCGGACAGGTATCGGTCGTCGCCGCGCGGTTCTGTTTTAAGAAAGAATGGAATAAATCAACCCATGTAAAGAGCTGGGCGCAATTTCTCTGACGGCGAAGCGACGACTACTTTTGCCGGCGACTCTCCGACAACTTGCGGTCAGACAACGCAGGCCCCGATCAAGCCGTAATGACACCCACCAAGCACCAGGTCGCACGGGCGCGTATCCGCTGCCTCCACATCGTTAACTCTCTTATCCTTATTTGCTCTGTTGAGAAACTAGCGGCTGGCGCCGATCGATACCAGGCTCTAAGATTAGGCAGCGCCCACTCTTACCGTTATCCTGTTAACTCGTTGGAAACACAAGCGGTCGCCATTATCTACTTCCGTCTGCGCTCGCGTTCCCTTCTATAGCATTGAAGTGTGTATACGCAGGTACAGCGCGTTGCAGCGTGTCGACGCGCGTCATCGCAAAGTATGAACACTGCCTTATCAATAATTGAATTCAGGGAACCGGAACGCGACCTTATACTGGTAAAGTGGGAGCTGATGATGTTGATGGAGTTGATATGGCCTATCGTGTTGTAGGCTGGCGCGACCCTGATTCATATTAGAACTCATGACAATAGCATTGGTCGCCAGATGGCCGGTTTGCGTTCCTTGATAATACTGGAAGGGGGTATGTTTCGAGCTTACAGTTATCGCAAACGCTTTGCTCTTACCATTTGATTTAGTTACGTTTTGCGTCGTGTCCTTCGACGAGGTGTTCGTTATGCAACGGAGAAGTTGAATGCTCAGCCGGAGTTTTTCGCCTCTCTGGTCCCTGTTGTTATAGAGATTCTAGTAAGTAATTTGTGAGAGAATTCCTTTACTTCTCCGTCCAAGATTTGCTGGCAACAACTCAAGACTAACCCGTTCAGGGTGACACATTCCCAGAACTTCGCCGTGATCCTGAAACAGTTCGAGACATTATCAACGATGAAGAGAAGCAGTTCCTGAAAACGTTGGTCCGTGGTCGCAGACTGTTCCAGCGTGCAGTTGCAGGACTAGGGACTGATGAAAAGACATTCCCTGGTCAGTCACATTTTGCTAGTATTTTTACTACTTTTCCTCGCAAACTACATTTATGAGAACTGCATATTTTTTTGATCCTCACCTGATATTCCACTGTCAGTGATGAACATCGTTTCAGGTGATGTAGCCTGGCGTTTATACGACACCTATGGATTCCCTGCCGACTTGACACAACTTATGGCTGAGGAGAAAGGGCTGACTGTCGATCAAAAGCTTTCGAAGAGTGCAGAAAGAAAGCTGTTGGGTTTAGTTGCTGGGCGGTATCATCCTATGAGCTTGGTAAGAAGTACGGAGTCATACGCAAGGCCAGTGGGTTTGCACTTGCTTGGGCGGGCGCTTGTTGCCAGCGTTCATGGGACGAGGTGCGATAGGCAATTTCGGCCCTCCACCCACCCAGCCCTTCCACCAATGACGCTAGCGACAGCCGCCCGCTCCCAGCGATCGTGCCTGCGCTTGAGTGTTGGAACGCTGAAATGACTTGTAATGGTTGTCTTCTCCTAATTACTGATGTATACTGGAAAGAAATTGGCAGTAGTACGAAAAAACCGCCGTCATAGCAGGTAATTTCCAAAATGGTAGTTCCGAGATTGAATTTTTCTGTTTTTTCACTTTCTGAATCCTTTTTCCTCAGGAACTATCAGCTGCTGGAACAGGAAAGTTCCGTTGACAACTCGACAATCTTAGAATGTCCATGCCCACTTGCGACTCCAAAGCGAGGTATCCCTACCACGGACGATTCGTTCAAATACAGGTACAAGGCTGAGGGACCAATGACGGGACTGTTGAAGTACAGTGAGTTTTTTTTGGCCTCCAATTTGATAGCATACGGTCACATCGAGCTTTTCAGCGTTCGAGACGTGTACCGGAAGATTCTTTGCCGATCCGTTGCTTGATCGCGTAAATTTGTCGATTCCATAGAAGCTGCTGTGTGTTGAGGGTGCTTTGTTGCTTGACAAGACGAATTTCTATGCAGAACAAGGTGGTCAGATCTATGACACTGGAGTGCTGATCTCCACAGACGATGAGGTATTTCTCGCAAATTATTTCCTTGTCTGTTTTGAAGTCTCCTTCGGCATTGAGCTGTGTTCACACTTTTCGTCAGCGTTTTGAGCGGCTGCTAAAAGAGAGGTATTGGTTTAGCGTTCGAGCGTTCGATAGCATTTGAGCATTTCGCGGGCAGTCGCTCGAGAACGCTGCGCTGTACGCTGTTAAGAATGCCTGACGCAACAACATTCATGTAGTCCTTACTCTCACCGTTCCTCATTTTTTAGCAAAGTTTGCACTCTACACTAATTACAGGAACTATGAATTTCGTCGCTTTACAAATTGCCAAGTTCGTTGGAGGCCATATTGTGTGGTCCTAGTGGGTTCAACTAACGGAGTACTGAAAGTAGGAGACACAGTCGAACAAGTCTTTGATGGAGTAAGTTGAAAAAATTGTGAAAAGTAGGCATTGTTTGCTACGTGATTGTTCAGGAACGTCGTGCACTCATTATGAAAAATCATACCGCCACTCATGTTCTGAATCACGCTCTTCGTTGTGTGTTGACCGATTCCGATCAGAAAGGATCTTTAGTTGCTCCGGATCGACTTCGATTTGATTTCACGAACAAGCAGGCGATGACTATCAAGCAGGTAATGGTGCTTGCATCCCTTGCGCCAGCGCTAGCGACTGGGGAGGTGTAAGTATCGCACCCGCCCCGTCTTTCGCCATCTGTGCTACGCCAGCGTCCAGAAAGTGGAGCAGTATGGAGAAGTATCAGACTGCGTTTATACACTTTGCTGTCAGCGTAGACCTTAGCGCTTCCAGACGTACGCCAGCGGCAAGCTTGCGAGGGAGAGGATGCATATCGATCTAGCGTTCCTAGCGTTACGCCAGCGTTTCTCCAGCGTTTCACCAGCGTTTTGCTAGCGTTTGCAGCGGCAGGGGAGTAGAGACTGTGGGAGAGCTGGAGGGTACAAAACACATCGATTGCGTGTCTCTGACGGCCACATAGTCTCTACAACACATCAATTGCGCGTCTCTGACGGCCACATAGTCTCTACAATACACTTCGATTGCGCGTCTCTTACGGCCACATAGTCTCTACTCCCCTGCCGCTGCAAACGCCAGCAAAACGCTGGTGACGCTGGGAACGCTAGATCGATATGCATCCTCTCCCCGGCACTGCCGCTGGTACGCTGGAAGCGCTACGCTACGCTGCCGCAAAGTATAAACGCAGCCTTAGGGCAGCAGACTGCTGGGTTAGGCGTCATGGAATTGCGGCGTGTGCAACCGCACCGTACAACTGCACTACACCGTACATCAAGATTGCATAATTCTATGCTTTAGCAGTTGTGCGGTGCGGTTGCAGACGCCGCAGTTTCACGACGCCGAATCCAGCAGTCCTCTACGGTCCCGCTTCCGCATACTCTCCTCTGCTGGACGCTGGCGCAGTCTAACGCGAAGTATGAACGCAGGCTAAGCTGTTGTTGATCTGCTTATATTGATGAATGACTTGATTGCCTATATTTGCAACACAGGTGAAAGAAGCCGAGGAGATAGTCCAGTCAATCATAGACACCCGAGAACCCGTCTATGCTAAAGAAGCCCCGCTACCTCAAGCTCGTGAAATCACTGGACTGAGGGCCATGTTCGATGAAGTAAGCTGTTCTAGCCCTTTTGAACATGGGAATTCCGGAATTCATAAGTTTTTCTTCAGAATTACCCTGATCCTGTTAGAGTGGTGTGCGTTGGGGTACCCGTAGAAAAGCTTCTGTCTGATCCGAAGAGCGGTGCTGGTTTGAAGACAACTGTAGAGTTCTGTGGTGGAACGTGAGGGTTTTTAGAGGATAAAAGTGGCTAAATGGGCTAAGCTCTGGCTTCACAGGCATCTTCACAACGTTGGACATATTGGGCATATGGTGATTTCATCCGAAGAGGCTATTGCTAAAGGAATTCGACGAATAGTAGCACTGTCAGGACCAGAAGCCGAAAGAGCATTACATCGTGCAGAAAGATTAGCAGCAAGGACTCAGGTGAGTGATAGGAAAAGGCCGCATTTCTTTGGTTCTCACAATGAAATTTCTTTCTTCTACATATTTTGTGCCTCTCCTTTTCTTGACTCACTGGTTGTTGAAAGTTTTACTCAGAACTTTAATATGTAATTCCTTGAATTTCACTGCAACAGCATAGCATTTGTTCAGCTTGTTTGTAAAAAGTTGCGGTAAATCCTTTGTTTGCTTTTCAGGCCCTATCAGATGAAATAAAAGCAAATACGAATTTAGCCATGGATTCCGAAAAGTTCAAAACGACGTCAAAGCAAATACAAGAATTGATAGATGTAAGATTCAATTTATCATCTTTTGTTGCATTTTTAGATCAAGTTATAGACAAACTGTACTTTCACCTTCGAAGAGCGGTCCTTCCCATTCGCATGCGAATAAGTCTGCAGCTGCAGGAGCGTCCACTTTCTCCGCTCACAAGTATACAGGAACAGGATTGCAGGGGAGTAGTACTCAAATGCCGTCTTCATACTCCGCCCCCGCTCTCCTCAATGACGGCAGTTTAGTCGATACCACAGCGTTCCGCAGCGCAGGCATGCACCAGCGGGTAGAAGAAAGCAAGTGAATTTGAGAGGGCACAGGTTAAGTAGTGGGGAGGTCCGCCGGTTGGCTAGGATTAGCGGCTGTGGGCCTCTCGGCGGGGTGGGTATTGAAACGGGCTTTCGGACCTACCCACCCTCTAGTCCCTGCCCCATTGCAACATCTGAAGGAGGAATTTGCACCCCAATTGACAGCGCGAGTCCCATTCACCACAGCACGGCAAAGGCCAGGCGTCTACAGATGTAAATGCTATCAGTTTGTCTTGAGGCGTTATGCCTGTCACAATGTTTTTGTGCTGTGCCATTCAGGAGCATTTCGCGTTGTTGCAGTGTATTCCCGCGGTAGTAAACAGATTTTGTGCATTCTTTTCTCTTGCCCTCTAAAAAATGGAGGGTTGGGAATTCGTACCTATCTTCCCGAGTTTGCCAGGTTATTGAGCTAGCCTGGGGTGCAGAGCGTTTCTCATTTTTTCTGTTCAGGAGGTCAACGCAGCTCAACTACCTTACTGGAGAAAGGATGAGATCCGCGAGCAAGGAAAGGCTGCCCAGAGAACTTTAGATGGTTATTGAAGAAGCAGGCTGAGCAGCCATTGCTTGACAAAAGGTGCATGTACTGTTTTTTTTTTTTGTTGTTGTGCATTTCCGAGGAAACTTGAAATTACGATGTGGGATTGTGAATTTCTTCGGTCTGTTTTTTTTTTGTTTTTTTGACAGTATTTCTCTCAGTTGATTGACTGTGACATAGTGCGCCGCTTCAAGTGCCTTCGGCGACGTACAGTTTGGAGGGGCAGTTTGCCTTTTGGTAGTTCATTTAGTTGGTTCATATTAACTACCAGGTACTTTGCTCAGACCTGTAAACTTCTGAGAAGTTGTGAAATTGTTCGAGTGAGCCACTTTGAGCACAGGAGTTCACAGGTCTTCCCAGCATGGCATGTACAAGCTCAGCTGGGTACTCCACCCCCCAAACCGAACTGCGTCTCGTCTTTTCCTGAGCGATCAATTCGAACTGTTTTAGGTTCTTTCTGAAGCTAAAGAATTGGCTCAGAACGGTAACCAAGATGTAGTTGTGCATGTATTTGCCTCTGGAGCCACTAGTAAGGTGATTTTTTGAATCTCTGTTCACCCTTTCGGATACTTCGGGCTTTTCAGTTCTGGTTTTTGTTTACTACTGTTTTGTAAGGGTAACATTCAACGACTGGTATAAATTTAGGCGCTAGACAATGCCTTGAAACAACTAAAGAGTACCAAAGCCGTTATGGGATTTTCTGTCAATGAAGACAGTGGAAAAGTCCTTGTACTAGCCAAAGTGGACAAGGTGAGATTTCATACCATTCTGCTCATGTTGAATTTATTTTTCTTAATGCTGACGTGTATAGTTTCTGAATTTCGCGATTTTTCAGTCTCTTGTTGATGGAGGCTTGAAGGCGAATCTCTGGGTTAATGAGGTGTGCACGGTTCTTGGCGGTCGCGGTGGTGGAAAAGATGCTAATGCTCAGGTAATTGTGCTCTGGTTCATACGCTGTAGGCTTTCAGATCTAGCTTCCTTTAATCCTCCCTCTGCCCTTACCGGCCATCACCAGAGCTATAGTCTAGTTCGCTGTGGGCGATGGAATTTGTCAGGCGAGATGGGTTTGGCGCGGTGCCAAACCGATTCTCCACCACTGAAGCGCTGTATCATATCGTTCGTATTACTTCTTTCTTACCAATAGTAGTCGCATAGCCGCCCTAACAACTGGCAGAGAACGGTTTTGGCGCCTTGGTTCTTTTTTGTGTTCTTACAGCTGAAGTACAAAATGTTGACAAAGG